TATCACACATATTTACCCGGATATTCACTGGAACTCCTCTACAAGACGTTATGCAAAGAGGGATCGCGTACTCTACTGCTGCTTAGAGACGGCACCGGTATGTCATGGCCTTACTAATACACTATCGCTATAATAATAAAAAACTATTTTCTATTTTTTTAATCCAAAGAAATCATTAACGACTTGAAGAGTAATCCGAAGAATAAAAACCATAAAAAATCAGGTAAATATTGTTTATAAAAACCAAAATAATAACAAAATTCTTATATAATTCAGAGTTTGATGAAATTCTTAACGAGTTTTCGTAACTTTTAACAATTCCTTTGAGACATATTTTATGGGATATTAGAGAAAACAATAAAAACAATGACTTATAGACAGTGTATCAAAGTAATTGAGCGCAAGTACTCACGTCTGACACTCGTATGACTTATGATATTTCATATCTCTGTCAATGATTTATTCTCCAAACGATTAAATAAAAAAATTCGTCGCTTTTTAGAAAAGTATATAATTCTCAGAATTTATAGAAACTGAACGCAAAGACCCAGACGATTGTGAAACCATTTTCTTACACATCAATAATCAGATTTCTCGTAACAGATGTGAGAATATCTTAAAATAAAATCTTCAAAAATATCTTTCCATTTTATAAAATTAAAGGTGCATTCAGTAGTAAGAAAAAATACAAAGTGGTATAATTTAATCAAAATTACAGTATTGAAAACTATTTTCGACTCAGCACATTGTCTAATACTAACATAATCTTATCGTATCTTATATCTAAAATTAAATATAATTTTAGCATAGAATTGACTGTTAATAACACTGTACAGTATATAAACACAATTACATGCATTGTCTGTCTTTAAAATAATTTAAAAATAAAACTTTTGAAGTTTAATGGTTGCCATCAAAGGATGATCGGCCCTATAGTGTAGGACCCTTTAGGCAAACATCTGGTTTTTGTAACCAATATAATAAATTGGAGAACAGTTCAATAAATAAGAAGCTATCAGTTATCGATCATAATATCACCGAAAAAAATAGTAAATCAAATTACGGGAACAATATTGAGGCAAAACAATGGCTTAAGTTATAGTACGAGTCATAAGATTTTTGTTTAACGAACTCCACGTTCAATGGTTTTCACGAAGAAATCAATTTCATGTTAAAGTTTCTTAACGACAAACAAACAAATAATTGTTAGTTTTGTTCATTTTGTATGGCATTCAGTGATGACCACAATAGGAGTGTTGCCATCAAGAAAAGAAACTTCGAGTACTTCATTACATTCACTATTTTTTTGTGATATAAAAAACATCTGTAAATAATAATTCCTTTATTTTTTCCCTGAGATCCCCCTTCAGGGCAATTATAAGACCATATTTTCTTATGTTTCAATGTTGTTGTGTTTGCTTCTCATTACACATACCGGTGCCGTTGAAAGTATATTTAGTATTTCGTTGAAATTAAGTTTCTAAATAAATGTGCGGATGTTTTGTCAGATAAAATCAATAGCAGATTAAGCTTAATTAGAAACTAAGGCTTAATATAGCATTTTGTTGCAACATTTAAACTTATGAACCTTTTTTAATCACCGGTAGTATAGCTGTAGAAGAGTTTAATTTTATGTAATTTTCTCACATTTGTCTCAAATTATTAATAGAAATATTTCTCAAAAATTAATACAATATTTTTATACTAAATTAGATTTAACATTATTGAACATTTTCCACCTATAGTCCGGGCTATTCTTAAAATTGACTTTTCGTGCATTTAATTTCAATGATCATCGCTTACCATACATTCCTTACATTAAGAAAAAATATTTTTGTTGTTTTGTTTTCTAAGTGCAGAGATTTATCAATAATTGTTGAGCACATAAATCATCGATTGTTCACTTCCTTCATGTTCTCTACGTTTGTAATTGAAGTTTAATTGAATTCAAATATTATAAATTTGAATTTAATTATTTATTTTGTATTTTATATAAATCACGAATTATTTTAATAGGCTCTAATAAATAAAAAGAAAATTAATTTTAAAGTAATATTTCAACAGTAGATCACGATATGAGGCATTAGAGACAATTATGTGATAGCATAATATTTATGCAATTTATATGAATACGAGGCATACTTTTACTGTCGTTTTTATGAACAAATATTTAACGGCATTGAATAAATATCTAAACATTTAAAAATAAAATAAATTTTAGGCAAATATTTATACCAATAAAAAAGGATCTAATATTGAAATTGATATGAATATCTGTTGTTTACGAAAAAAAATTTAATGTTTTTTCACTAAAACTTCGAAGCGTTTAACGATCCATAAAATGACTTATATTTCAATAAATATTTGCAAAAAAATACGAAAACTATTTAAGAATAAAAGTACAGAATATTTCGACTCAAATATCTATTGTAATAAAAAATACAAGAAAATGCACTAAAATTACTTTTTATTTGGCATAAAAACTGTTGTTTAGTTGAGATCAATAACAATAAGTGCGAGAACAGGACGACAACCGACTTCTCGATATCACCGGAAAGTGAGAACAACTCCAATGTGTTTGACATCAAACAGAGCGGCGAAGACACCGACCAAACATTGAGCAGTCCGTCGACGTCCAGTCCGGAAGACATACCAAACAATGAGACACTTTTGTTGACCGCAAACCCAGCCAATGATGAGCAGATCGATAACGTGTCTGTGGTTTCTGGTGATGGCTATCAGAGTGACAACTGGTCGATAGCCTCGCACAAGCATCAGAGGTAAGACCAGTCTCACAGACTTTCTGATATCATATCTGTTGTGTAACTCTTGTAAAA